CCGACCCCCGCTGGGGCTCTCGGTGTCGCCGCCCCGCTGGCCGTAGTCTCCGCTGTCTCTCCGGCTTGCCTCTCTGTGTCTTCTTGGCTCTCACTGCTTCCTGAAACTAGCAGACATCAAATGAGACTTGCCCACACCTTGGCGGTCTCCAAGCCCTGACAGCATAAAATGTGAAGACGCGCTTTCCTTTGCAAACGTCTCCCTGAATCTTCCCGCGCTGCCTCGGCAGCACAGGCTTCTTCCTAGACATTTGCGTCCCTTTGGTTGTAGCCCAACCCTTGGCTCTTCACACCTTCCCGAGCGCGCTCCCATTGCTCCCCACACACTCTCAGCCCCACCGAGGCCAGCGTCAAGACGCCTTGTCGGGTCTAGCCTGTTTGTGTCCCCATCGGTTTTTAAATCTCAGTGTTTCCTTTCGCCTTCTCGCCGCAGACCCGGCGCCGCCTGCGGTGAGGCGCGGTGGGGGCTGCCCCGTTCGGCCGCCCGGGTGCCCTGCGAGCGGAGCTGAGGTTTCGGGGGGCGGGCCTCCCTTCAGCACCCGGCAAAGCCTGGCCCCTCTCCGCAGCTCCGTTGAAGGAATGAGCCCTACTGCTCTAAAATTTGGTAGTGGTGGCCTCCTGCCTAAAACTCGCTCCTGAACACCTACCGTGGTGGGCGCACTGCCATAATAGCGGGCCTGATATTTCGGTTCCTTCAGACTCCTGCCTTCTATTTAGGAAAGACCGTCGATCAGGAAATCGGTTTACTGCAAGTGACTGCCTCACGGAATGAGCTGCCCGGGCCAGGCGGGCGGGGGAAGCGTGCAGGGCCTTGTCGGTGGAGGTAGAGCTCGCCAGGGTCTGCCCGCTCTGAACGGAGCTGGCAATGATTCTTATCCTCACCGTGACAACTGTGTTATCAGCCTGGGGTCTAGAGTGGTTAAATCACGAATGAAAACTTAACAAAAATGGCAGTTTGGTGTAGGGGGGACACGGGGATTCAGCTTTTTCTTATCTGAGAACTGAATGTATTAGCTATAAAATGTGTAGTCTAAGGTAAACCTGGAAATAAAAGGGCAAGTTGGAGTACGAAATAGGAAGAGCAAGCCTCTTTGAAATTTGGAATAAGGTTTTGCTAGGCAATCCTTCTAATGACTGTAGTATTTCTTTGTATCCGAAGACTTTCAGGTGGGGGACCAGAGGCTGGAGAGAGACCTTCAAACTAATTTGCATGAGAAAAAAGCTTAGCGTGAGGAATTCGTAGGTAAGGTTGCTATGGCTGATACCTTAAGTGCCCTGCTGGAAAGCATTCTGGTCTGTTAGGTAATACCTGAAGCCCCAGTCCTATTACGTAGCATTTCTTTTTTTTTTTTTTTTTCTCACTTTAACTACTCTGAAACTATACAGAGTTACAAGTTCCTCATTAATTTATGAGCGATACCAAAGAATTGACTCAATCCAGCAAGTGACTTCTTCCCTGTAGGAGGCACTTTGCTAAGAGCTGCAGAAGAATGGAAGATAGAGGAATTTTCCAGTGAAAGCCCCAGCAACAACAGTGGGCTGACTTGGCAGGTGTAGATGCAGGTTTGCGATGCCTATTCAATTTAAATCAAAACCAGCTGAGTTTTCTAAGGCTGATGTCAGAGAGATGACTGCCTGTGTTTTCTTCTAGGAGTTTTATAGTTTCAGGTCTCACATTGAGGTCTTTGACCGATTTTGAGTGTATTGTGTGTGGTGTCACGCATGCTCCAGTTTCATTCTTTTGCATGTAGTTTTCCCAACACCATTTGTTGAAGAGACTGTCTTTTCCCTTTGTACATTCTTGCCTTCTCTGTTGTAGGTTGGCCACATAAGCGTAGGTTTATTTCTGGGCTCTCTACTGTGTTCCATTGATCTATGTGTCTGTTTTTGTGCCAGTACCACACTGTTTTGATCCCTACAGCTTTATAGTATATCTTGAAATCTAGGAAAATCGGTTGAGTTTTCATCTTATTCTCTTTTTTTGATTTTTTTTTTAATGTTTATTTTTGAGAGAGAGAGGGAGGGGGCAGAGAGAGACGGAGACACAGAATGCAGAACAGGCTCCAGGCTCTGATCGTGACCTGAGCCAAAGTGGGACCCTTAACCGACTGAGCCACCCAGGTGCCCTTCATCTTATTCTAAATGCCATATTTGTCCCCCGATAGCCCAATGATTTTGTAGTTTTTCTACCAATGCAGGAAGAAAATAAAAATCAATTAATTTATTGAATAAATGCAGGAAGAAAATAAATTAATGTATCAATTTCAAATAAAAGATTTTCCAGGAAATATAACTAAGAAGATATGTCCATTTTCCCCTAGTGTTTGCATTATCATTGAGTTAATAAACTTACAACCAACGACAGAAATGAGGAGATGATGATTTTCCTTTCCTTTGGTTTCAAACTAGTGAAATTGTGTACCAAAGAAGACAAAGTCAGTACAGATAAATATAGTTCTCTGGTGCTTCCCAAACTGTATTTCACTTAAGTTCATACTTTTGGAGAATAGATCCAATTTCATGAAATCCTTCAATTCTTCTTTTTGAAAGACCGTTCCAGAGGCCAGTTTCATAAAATCTTTCATTGTAGAGACCAGAAGTCATCAACTGCATCATCTTTTCTTCATCTTCACCCTTGTAAACAACTGTATTCTCAGGAGGACTTTGGGGGGGTGACAGGTCTTTTTAAAAATCTGGCCAAAACTAAGGACTATATCCCAGAAAAAACACACGCCATTCAAAACGTTGCATGTATTTCAGAGGAATAAGCCCTCATGTTAGAATAGGGGCACTGAATTAGAGGGTAGGCAGAGGGGGATGGAAATGAAGCAAGGATAGGGGTCAGTCCACAAACTGAGTGGGTATAATTTAATTTACTTTGGAATGGAATAAATACCTGGCCTTTTTGAGTAAGTGTTCTGAAAGTAGGAAGTAATAATTGTATTATTTATAAAAGACTAAAGACAGAGTAGTCCTCTTAATTTTTTAGTTGATCAACATCAGCTTTTATCTTGAACGTTATGAATCTCATTTTTTAAAGTTTTTTTCTCATTCGTCTCAAGGAAAGTACTTCTGAAATTTTTCTCCCGGTACTGATGCCCCCATCCAGGGAAGATTCTCACATACCAACTTTTGTAAACATGAATTGATGAGGATGGGAATGGTTGAGTTCAAAGTTTGAACTTGCTCTCTCACACACACATACTAGTGTTCGCCTTTGGGAAGGAGGTGTGTGTGTGTGTGTGTGTGTGTGTGTGTGTGTGTGTGTGTTTGCATTGCATAATTTCCATATTCAGTATAAACCACTGTGATAGCAGGAGTTGCGTCTTGAGAGAGAGTTGGCTGGTATCAGGAATGTAATGGACGGCATTAAGAAACATTTTGGATATAATTTCTTTCAAAGAACAAACCAGCAACTGCTGGATTAACTTTCCTTTCTTCTGTCCTAGGGCCGAGGAGCGAGCTCTCCCTTCTCTAGCTCGCAGCCCTACTAACCAAGGTTTCATTGAACTGCACCAGACCTCTCATCTGGGGACCCTGCCCCTGCCCTTCCCGCTGCACGTTGGATTTGGGTAGGTAGAGGGCCACCTGGAACTAGTAAAATGGGAAAGTGGGTCATAGGTAGTGTTGGATTTTACGTGGAACACAGGACTTCGTAACATTTCCGGAGGCCTGAATTGTACACCACTGTTTGGAAGAAAGGGTAAGTAAGAGAGATAATGCCAGGATCAGCACTGCTTACTCTGTCCTTTTAACTTGGATCAGGACTGGCCTAACTGATCCTTAGATAGGAATTCAGCAGCCTTGACCTCCCTTATTCTTGAGTGACAGCTGGGTGGTTGGTCACAACCCTGGAATGCCATCGATAGACCTTAATTGGCTGAGTACATTGGTGGAGATCATGGTTTTAATCCAGGCTCTGCTCTTAACTAGGTGTGTGATCTTGGGCAAGTTAACAAGTAAATGAAATTCTTCGGACATTAATTTTTTTCTGTGTCATATAGGATCAGTGATTCTCAACTACTAAGGTATAATTCTATGCATTTGAATCACAGGGAGAGTTTATACATACACATACACACAAATACTGGATCAGAGATTCAGTTGAGTATGGATAAATGTAGTTCTCTAGTGCTTCCCAAACTGTATTTCACTTAAGTTCACCCTTTTGGAGAATAGATCCAGTTTCATGAAATCCTTCAATTCTTTTTGAAAGACAGTTCCAGAGGCCAGTTTGGACTGGGTCAGGCCCAGATACCTCTCTTTCTTAAAAGTCCCCCCAACCCCCTACCAGGGAACACTAATGTCCAGTCAAGATTGAGAATCACTGAATTAAATAATCGCCAAGAATTGATTCTAAGATTGGGTTGCCTTAAGATAGAAAGCAGGCCCTTAAAATCCCTTTTATCCACAGCCTGGCCTGGTATTACATACTCTCAGTGGTAACCAAGCCTAAACATGCCTTCCTAAGAAGCAGTCCACATCAGGCGATTTCAGTCTATTGAGGGAAGGTGCTGTGCCTAGGCACTAGGTCAGTGTTCCCACAATGCTTTGCGAGTCCTTAGCACCCGGTACATTCTGATGGACTGAACAAGGTGTAACTCTGCCTATCCAAGATGACTAGCTGTGCCTACAGGTCCCCAGAGACGATTATCTCTCTTCTCTGGATATCCATGCCAGTGTTCAGTAGCCTATTGTAATTTTTTCCTAGAGGTGACTGTGACTGTAGCGGTATGGGAGAAAAGTGTCAGCAAGGGATAAAGATGATGACCTTGATCGTTGCTGAAATGTGAGCTTTCTGTGTCCAAACTGAGATAAAAAAAGTGATCCTCACACCTTCTCAGGTAGTTGTAGACTATCAAGTTACCAGAACTGGGGTAGGAAAAAAAGAGCATATTGTTTACCTTAAGCATTTGTGGGACCCAGTCTTGTTGCCATTACATTGGCAGTTCTGTAGGTGTTCACACTTTGCAAATTATTCTTAGACTTAAAAGGAGCAACTCATTAAATTGTAATCCATGAAATTTATTTCTATTTATCCTACTCTTTGTTTCCTCCTCTTGCGCTTCACATCCCAAAATACCTAGAAGAAGAAAAATACAGTGTGTACGTGTGACTGTCAGATCAGCGAAAGAGAAATGGACATGAGTTGGCAAAAGATGGAAAGGCATTAAGGAGGAAATATAGAACAGGGTAAGAAGGCCCACAGATTGCAAGGAGCAACACTTAATTTCTTTCTTTTCTCTCTGCTATTGGACTTCTAGTGGCTCCAAGTTTATTCTCAAGCTTTCTAAAACTTAGGCAAATCATTGTATTTCAACTGCTATGTGTTGGAAAATATGAGCTTGTGGCACATGATTCCAGAACGATCCCTGCTGTCTTCCAAACACAGAAGATAGAAGGGTGCCTCCATAGGTGAATTGGCAGCCTGGACATACTTGATCTAATCCATCACTGGCCAATCCCAAGGCCTGAGTTAATTCAAACTAATGTCTTAGTTGGGGAATATATTTTTTTTTTTCTGGAGTGGAAAGCTACCAGCACCAGAGTTCTTTACCTTTGTGTTGTAGAAGAACTGCCCTTACCAGGTGCCAAAAATCGAATGCAGACCTCCAGAACCAGCTCGGCCCCCACCTCTCCATCTACCTACAGCTGGTTGCATCACTGCCATTAAAAAGAAAAAAAAAAAAACCTTCTAGTATTAGAGTCATTTTTACATGTTTATTGCTGATCATTATTCTCAAATATTTAGTAATGGGAACATGCTATTTCATTATTTTATAACTTATTCTTTACCTACTTCTCAAGTAACTTAAGATAGGAGTATATGTGGGCCACCTGACTGGCTCAGTTAGTGGAGCATATGACCTTTTTTTTTTTTTTAATTTTTTTTAACCTTTATTTATTTTTGAGACAGAGAGAGAGAGAGCATGAACGGGGGAGGGTCAGAGAAAGAGGGAGACACAGAATCGGAAACAGGCTCCAGGCTCCGAGCTGTCAGCACAGAGCCCGACGCGGGGCTCGAACCCACGGACTGTGAGATCATGACCTGAGCCGAAGTCGGACGCTTAACCGACTGAGCCACCCAGGCGCCCCAGCATGTGACTTCTTGATCTAGAGGTTTATGAGTGCACGCCCCATGTTGGGTGTAGAGATTACTTAAAAATAAAATCTTAAGGGGTGCCTGGGTGGCTCAGTCGGTTATGCATCTGACTCTTGATTTTGGCTCAGGCCGTGATCTCAGGGTTTGTGAGATCGAGCCCCATGTGGGGCTCCGAGCTGATGGCACAGGGTCTGCTTGGGATTCTCTCTCTCGCTCTCTCCCTCTCTCTCAAAATAAATAAACATTTAAAAATAAATAAAATAAAATCTTTAAAAAGATTGGAGTAAATGTACTAGAAAAAGATGGGTTTTGTCCTCATAACTTTAAGTTAAAACTTTAAGTAAAAAATTATTACTAGACTCAAATGCCTAGTTATATGTTTAAGCATTTTTCCTCCCACAAACCTCTATTTTTACATTTTATTTATTGGTTTTGACAGGGAAAGAGAGTGAGCACAAGTGGGGAAGAGGCAGAGAGAGAGGGAGAGAGAGAATCCCAAGCAGGCTCTGCACAGTCAGCTCAGAGCCTGATGCAGGACTCAAACTCATGAACCATGAGATCATGACCTGAGCCGAAATCACAAATCGGATGTTTAACTGACTGAGCCACCCAGGTGCCCTACACAAACCTAATTTTTGAAGTTAGCACTGTTAGGGTTGTTCTGGTCTTTAGGATTATCTTTATCTTGCTCTTTAAATCCGTACTCCCTCAAAACAATTAAATGTCGCAAGATAATTAGAAATGATAAAATTTTCTTAACTAGTCCCTGCTTGAACACTTTTAACAACAATCTCCAAAACTAGAAGGGATTTTTATTTCTTCCTTCCTTCCTTGAGTCATTCATTCAACAAATGTCCAATGAATTCCTGTTACATACCTGTCCTCATGTGGCTTTCATTCTCATGAAGGAAAAAGGGAAGACAGACAATGAAGTAAGGTACAGTGTCGGTCAGATGGTGATGAATGCTGTGGGTGAAAATAAAGCTGGGAAGAAGGTAGTGGAGAAGTTGGTGGGGCAGCTTTAAAGATAGGGTAGTTAGGAGAAAAAGCTTCACCTGAGAAAATGATGTTGCTCACAGACCTGAAGGTGGCGAAGGAGAAAGTTCTGAGCTCCCCAGGACAGGACCGTCCTAGCCAGCATCAAGGCCTTGAAGCAGGGATGTGCCTGGCACACAAGATAGCAGGGAGGTCCGAGTGGCCAGAGCAGCGTGACAAGGTGGGGAGTAGAAGGAAATGAAATCACAGAAAGCAGCGGTAGTGGGGCAGGAGCGTGGGAGAATGCTGAAGATCATATGGGATACTTACGGGGTGATCTGAAGGTGCGGTGTTTTACTCTTTAGTGAAACTCACAGCAGCCCTGTGATCTGTTTCTTCTTTATTACACCCGCTGGGTATTCTCCAGCTTTCCTTTCCTCACCAAATCAGCCCCTACCCATTCCTTCCTTCATGATCCCTTTCTCCCCAAGGCTGGCTGTGGAATGGAATTCAGCCTCCCGTTCTCCTTGCTTCTTGCTCGGTACCCTGCAGGTAAGGCTTTTCCTTCCTTTTTATTTATTTATTTATTTATTTATTTAAATTTTATTTATTTATTTATTTATTAACTTTTTTTTTTTTTTATTTACTGTTGAAGGAGAGAGAGAGACAGAGCGTGAGCGGGGGAGGGGCAGAGAGAGAGTGGGAGACACAGAACCCGAAGCAGGCTCCAGGCTCAGGGCTGTCAGCACAGAGCCCGATGCGGGGCTCGAACTCACAAGCGGTGAGATGATGACCTGAGCCGAAGTCAGATGCTCAATGGACTGAGCCACCCAGGCGCCCCTTTTCCTTCCTTTTTAAAGAACGACCTACTAGTTGCTGATGAATAAAAACTGCCAGGTAGTACCAAAACCAACAATCATGAGAGTAATCAATGAATTCATACAAAATATATTGTGGTTTAGACTGTAGACCAGGCAGGAAGTGGTTGCACTGCTGGGAGGCTGAATTTAGCCTGCGTGTTTTGTTGGGCGTGCACATTGTTCTATAAATATTTGTGTTGGCTTTCTAACATTTAAAACTTGATAAAGCTTTGTTAAGATGTAGTTTCAAGTTCAGTTAAAAATTGGATATTCTATTTATATGGAGTTGGAAAATAGGCCAAACTAATCTGTGGTGATTTCACAAGTATCACAGGGATTGACTATTAGGAGTGCGAGGAAAATTTCTGGATGACGAAAAGGTTCTATTCATGGGGAGTATGGGTGGCTCAGTCAGTTAAGTGTCTGATGCTTGGTTTAGCTCAGGTCATGAGTTCAAGCCCTGCATCGGCTCCTCACTGCGAGTACAGAGCCTGCTTGGGTTTTTTTTTTCTCTCTCTCTCTCCTTCTCTCTCTGCCCTTCCTTGCTTATGCACTTTCTGTCTCTCAAAATAAATAAATAAAACTAAAAATGCATATATATTACTGGGGCGCCTGCGTGGCTCAATCGGTTGAG